AAGACCACAGGTCTCTATCGGCTTTCGTTCAAACTTTATTCAAAAAACATCGGACTTCATTATATTTTGGTACAGATGGTTTTTACTTTTATGTCAAATTTAGAATTTCTGAACAACAATTTTCTGTCTACTCTTTTTCGAAAAGTAAACGAAGATGACCGATCTATATACTTGCATTACTCTACACCATCTCTCATTGTAATACACTATAATTTCGAAGTATAGTTTGATTTTATTAAAAATTGTTACTTTTACTTCCATATTCTGCATTATTTGGTAAGGGTTAAAACTCTCTAGAAAAGCTTATGCTTCAGGTTCTTAACGCTCATATTCCTACCTGTAGTCCGCATGAAACCGAGAAATCATGTGCATATAGAATAGGAGGAAATATGAGGGTGCAAGATTCTCCTATGTAAAAGGTTTGGTTAATATCGGATTCGGGATAACTAATATATTCGCAGTGAATGTGTGTGTAAGAACAAATCAGATCCAAACTGTGGCAAATTGGTTTTCGTATAAGCAAAATTAATCTTGATATCACTGTGTGTAATTGAGTAGACAATCGACACTGAACTGCCGTTTTTCTGTCTCGCTAAATTGCCTTTCAAATTCAATTACTATCCATTTCAGATTTTCCATCTAACTCAAAAGCGAAAAGAGATTGAGAGTTATAATTTTTGGCATTCGATAGATGACGCTTTGGAGCATCTTTTCATCACGAAAACAAAATTAAACGTATTTTTTCTTACTACGTTGTTTAGAGACTCTTTGGAAAACTTGCTTATAGTAGCAAAATTTTAAATAATAATATACTGATGTTCTAACATGCGGAGTTAGCCTAAAATGCCCTCTTTAAAACGGGAGTCAAGCGAAGCCTTGCTATTGCATCGTTTAGTCGTGGTAATGGGTTTCCGAGGAGTCTTAGGGCTGCTTTGCCATTACGTGGATTAGTAGAAAACATATAGAAGCCTTGGCTATCGATCATATTGAATCTTGTGATAATGTTCGTTTTTGAAGCGAATGCAAAAACCTAGTGAGAACCTACAGCAGGTGTAATCAACAGCCCAGTTTTAGCTATTTTCAAGGAAAATAAAAATATTCATAATTTACTCAAAAATCGATCCAAGCTATTTCAGAGCATCAAGATAGACTCTACTGTATCTGTCTAATTTGATTCTGTACTTAAAACTAGTAAAAATCGTTTTCTCTGTTAGGAAGATTGCTTGAAAATCTGTTCAAAACCAAAGCGCTTTCCACTGATTTTGCAAACGTCTATTCAATTCTAACGAGGGAACATTCCCAAGTGAGGCACTTCGATTTTGTCTTAACCTGACAATATATATGTAATCAAGAACGCTGATTACGAATATGATAGCCGTTTGTGCCCATAGACTTTCCTAGCGTTTCTCTGAAGAACCGGTTTTCTAGAAATCTCATGAAGCCCTAGCAATGTTTTATGAACATGTTGAGATTGTAGTGTGGAAATTTTACATCAGAATGAGACGCTTTCCAGCTCTCCACGACCTTTCTTTGAAAAGTTACAGAATTTACAAGAGAAACCCTAAATTAATTTTCCTTTTTATATCTCTGAGCGGACAATAAACATTTAGCGCTTCTCTTGTAAATTCTGTAACTCTGCAAAGAAAACTCCTGGAGAGCTGGAAAGCGTCTCATGTTGATGTAAAATTTTCAGGCTACAATTCCAACATGTTGATAAAACATTGCTAAGGTTTCATGGGATTTCTAGAAAACCGGTTCTCCAGAGAAACACTTGGAAAGGTCTATAAGCACAAACGGCTATCATATTCGAAATCAGCGCCCTTGATTACATATAAATTGCCAAGTTTGAACAAAATTGGAGTGCCTCACTTGAAAATGTTCCCTCGTAAAGTATTGCACAGACCGTTTTTGAGTTAGATGGAAAAATAGTCTTATTTTAACTTTGAATGGATAGTAATTGAGTGTGAAAGACACCTCAGCAAGATAGAAAAACGCTAGTTCATTGCCGATTGTCTACTCGTTACACTCTACTCTAATAGTAATATTAGTGATACTACTGATAACATCGTGTCGATTGCACAACTTCAATCGTTGTACAGAATATAGATACAGAACGGTGAATTTAGTTTTGTAGTTTACTACAAAGCTAAGTTCACATGTTCGAATCTCTATTCGTACAAAAATTGATTTTGTGTTTTTCGATAGTTTTAGTTTAGAATACTATAATGGAATATTCTTCCGCTTGTATTCTGACAGAATAAAGCTTATATCAATAGTAATATCGAGATTAACTTTGCTCGTATGAAAATCACTTTACCACAGTTTGAGTTTGATTTGTTCTCTTTGTTGAGTTAGATGGAAAATAAGTCGTATCAGTCAATCTGAAATGATTAACGATCGAGTGAAAGTGTTGAGCAGGAGTGGAATTCCATCCTACGCCGTGCCATGCAGCGGAGTCGTATCAATGATTTTTCGTAAACTTGCGAATATACCTGCAGTTCACTTTTGTTTCAGTTTTCGAGCGCCGTACATGTTGAAAGCACATCTGAGCTCATGATCTCACCCTTAATTAATCGAAAAGCATGTCTGCAAAGAAGACTCCATGACGTGTATGATGTATGCGTTATAGATTATGTTTTAATTTTATTCAAAACAGGGATAAAACGTTAAAATCGAACGAGCAGTGACCGAAAATCAGGATAACTGAGTCCCATGTTACGTTAACAAGATATTTAACTTACATTTGTTACCATAGAAAGACCAATCAGGTATGACACGAGGCATACACCTGCTACGAACAGTTCTTTATTCGGTGAGGATCGTAGATAAGTGGGAAATTCATCACTGATGGCTGTTACAACACCTTCGACACAAACAAACTAAAATCAAAATTAGTTTAATCGATCTATGTTTAGCTTAACTGCAAATCTTTCTTGCTTTGCTTTTATATATACCTGACTATCTATACCAAGCAAAATAATCATTATAAAAAATAGAATAGCCCATATACTTCCTCCACCCGGCATGAGTGATAAAGCTTTTGGATATGCAACAAAGGCAAGACCAGGTCCTATCACAACAAAAAAATGAAATGAAATAAAATGAAAGAATTGAATTTATTTTCTACCTTTTTCAGCTGCATCTTTAATTAAAACGCCTTGTTCCTTCGCCATATAGCCCAATACAGAGAAAATAATGAAACCTGATATAAAACTTGTACAACTATTACATAATGAAAACAGAATCGAATCCCTAACAAACAAAAAAGTATAAACAGTAAGATTAGGCGCTTCGTCTCTAACGCGAATGCTATGCCAATGATCTCTACAAAGACAGATTTTTGTAAATCACATACCTAAAACTATTATGCTGAAATTTATTATAACTTCCCATTGCAGTAATCATTCCCAGACTAATAGACCAAGAAAAAAATATTTGGGTACCGGCATCTGTCCATGTCTATGTCAACAAAAAACCTATACAAAACAGTGTACTAATACGAGATGAGCTTACCTCTAGTGTTGCAACTCGTGACCAGTTAGGTTTTAAATAATAGATAATTCCTTCTTTAGCGCCAGGTAAGGTTATACCACGTAGAAGGAGTATAAAAATAAAAAGATATGGTGACAAGGCGGTGAAATACATGATCTAAATGAGAACCCAAATAACATGAAAGAGAAAGTAAAAATGACGCGATTACTTTTCCTGTGATGCGTATTCCCTTAAAAATAATCATATAGACACAAATCCATGCCAATAGTAAACATAACGCTAAATCCCATTTGATTCGTCCGGGATATTCAATACCGTTTGACAAGCCCAACACATTATATCTATATAGAGAAAAGCCAATTACCAGTAGAATACCTTCTGAAAACGCATGAAAACTTTAGTTAATGAATCATTATTAGTATCGCATATGATTCTGTCAAAATAGTCAATTTACTGCCAGTATTCGACTGTAGAATCTTTTCTTTCGCTCAACAAACAAGTATTGTTTAAATCGGAATAATTTTGTTGTTGATAGGATTGACAACACCTGGTGTTCCACCAATTTCCACAAGATTTCCATGGCAAAGTTTTCGTCATTGATGAAAATAAATATCTTATCGCCCATGCTATGACGACATTATACATGGCATTCAAGTTGAACGCTAATATTGTTGTAGCTATACCAATACCTAAGACATTTTGATAAGTTACACAGTATAAAATTCCAGGTTTTTAAAGAAGAGAAAACGTGCTTTTCGTTTGCCTAAATAGGAACCTGATACGAATATGGAAATTGTTAAAGTTAGTTTTGTCTGATGTTTTGAAAGTGCAGAAGTTGAGTTTTTCATTCGTTCCGATCTCTGTATGGCGTTCTCCAGAACACACCAGGATGAAAAATTCTAATCTGTTCTTTTACTTTTCAATAAGCTTGTTTTTAGTTTTTCTTCTTCGCAGTTCCCTGTGTTCGATTTTTTTTATCAATACTTTGCCTATGATCGCACATGACTGACGTATTTTTGTAATACTGCAAATACATAGTGTAATTGTCATTGGCAACACTGGAATCGATCGATCGGTCCATATCGCTCAATAAACGTTGGTCTGGCCGGTTCCATTTACGATTATCAAGGACAAATACGACCTCGAACGACGAGATTCTTGTGAATAGAGCGAAATGTGCGAAAATAATTCGAAGTATTTGTAAGGAAATATGATGTCCTTCATGTGTATTTAGGCTCTGCAAAATAAAAACGATGATGGACACCTGTGATTCTCTTCTTCGTTTTGAATTTCGAGATCTTCAAACACTCAGAACTAAAACTGCATTTTCTGTCTTTTTGAAAACACAATTTCTGAAGAATTTAAATGTGCTGGAAAACTGAAATGAATGAAAAACTCGTTTTATGTTGAAAAATAAAATCTATGTGTTTCACATTTCAAAGAACTCAAATGAGTTCTTCAACTAGTTCTCTGAAAAGAACGCGATTTTTTATGCTGTAGGTTGATGTTTATTTTAACCATTCTTCTAACAAACCTCGAAATAACGGTACAATATTCCAACATCCAATTCCACCTTCTGACATCCATTGACCAAGTGAAGCTTCGAGAAAAAATAGGGGGACTCCACATATCAATGCACTGATGAAATATGGAATTAAAAATGCTCCTGTAAAAGAAGAATTCCACATAGATCATCTTTCTATAAAGGACATATTATATCATTTTACTTACCACCGCCATTCTTAAAACATAAGTATGGAAAGCGCCACACGTTTCCAAGACCGATACTAAATCCAATGGTAGAGATAAAGAAGTCAAATTTTGATTTCCATATTTCACGTTGTTTTACGACCAATTTTGTTTGTGACATGACTCTTAATAAACAACCGAACGGTTAGTAACTTGTTGTATTTGATGCAAATGTGCGAGTGAAGATGAAGTATAATAAGAGTGTACTATTAGTGATATATACTGTTGCCCTTGGTGTTACCATATAATGTTCCTTTTCTCTATTTCGTATATAATCAGTCATATCTACCTATATCTACTGTATAATAGAAATATTTTACATATCTAATGATTTTTTTTTTCTTTTCTCTTTCTTTTCTTACACGTCACATACTACACATTACATTGTAACATTCAATATCTATCATAGAGCGCAGAAGAAATTTGTAATTCATGGCAGAATAATAACGTCTATTTCGATCAATATATGCTACTACTTCTATTAAAAGTTATTTTCTTTATTTATATATTCGCTCAAAACGAAAATGTTTATACTGCAGTTTTTACTTTATTCAATCCGAACTGTCTTTTCCTGACTGTCAAATTATCATAGTCACGATTTTGTGCCTTATTTTTATTACTGTGTCTTATTTCTGTTATCGTTGACCTATGATCGATAGAATAATCTGTTTCTTCCATGAATTTGATATTCTTTGATGTACAGTAGCGCAACTTATGGTCGACATCAGCATAGTGAAAAGACTATTCACTATTATTCTCGGTTATCGCGTTCTCTCTTATAATACATATTAAAAATTTCTGTTTTATCATTGATTCTAGCTGAGTTCGTTTCTCATTTAATTTTAGTAATTAATTTTAATATAAGCTTTCGAATCAACGTTGTCATAGTTAAAGAGAATTTAAAACAGTTAAAACTACGTAATCAATAAAAGTAAAAGCACTATTGTTTCGACGAACTACTTTTTCATTTCCCGTAAAATATTTATGAGCTAATCGTAACTTTTTTGTACGGTTATTAAAAAAAACGAAAGTCTTCCCAAAAAAATCTGAGTCGTACATTTTGTAGCCCACAGTTCACTGAGGCCCCACAAAAAATTTCCCAACTACCAGACCCGAACTGCCTGAGATATTTCAGTACCAAGGTCGGTTTCTACCGCTCGACAGGATTTCAACGGAATCTATGCAAAATACTCGCTAAAAACAAACTTATGACATACCATTCGACTCGTCTTGGGACAAGCAATCTAGTGAGTCTACTAGCAGTTGATATAAGGGAAAAAACGCAAAAAACCTATAAAAAATGCGTTTTATCTCGAAAAACGCCACTAAAGTTCACTCACACTTTTCCATAAAGTTTTTTCATAAAGTTTTCTTTCCAGAACCTAGGAGCACTACAAATCGCTTGCCCATGACCAGATGAGTCTATTGATGTACGGTAAGCGCAGGTCCGAGCGAAGAATTCTGAGAAAATCGAGCAAAACTTGTCGCTTCACATTTTTTAGAGAAAAATGTCCACTCTACATTTCGCAGAACATCGTAAAATTCTAACATAAGCAATTATCAGACAGCCTCAAAATTTTTGGTGCTAATGCAACTTTTTATGCTCTAGTCGCGCTATTAGTTTCAGAAAGTTTCGACGTGCCCGCTAGGAGTTATTCGCCATTCGATTGCAGACTGTCGCCCTACACATGGAGTGAAAACTGATTTTTTTAAAAGTCTGGGAATGGGATTTTTCGACTTCGAATGAGTACAGCTTTGCGGGTTGACCAGATTTTTTTTTGTGGTAGTGGAACCGTCATCAGCGAGTAAAACAAAAAAGTAATTTTCGAAACCGGTGGGCAATGACAGAAGTTATTGAAAAAATATCGTAAAATTACAATTGTACAAAAAAGTTCCTGTAAATGTACGTGATAACCTGTATAATAGAACCGTAAAGAGAGAAAGAACCAAAAGAAGAATGTACGAAGCCTTGAAATATTCTTATCTGACCTGGATAAAATTTATAAACTTACAACATCAAAAACATGAAATATAGTTAACACTGGATGATTTTTCAAACATTTAACTAGCTAGAAATTTGTTGATCTCATTTGCCCCGTCACAGCAACTGCTTACGTCCGCAAAGTGGCCACCTCCCTTTTCGTAATAACTGAATCATGTCCGGTGGTAAGTAAACAAATGATATAATATATCCTTTGTAGAAAGATGATCTATGTACAATTCTTCTATTACTGGAGCATTTTTAATTCCATATTTCATTAGTACATTGATATGTGAAGTCCTCCTATTTTTTCTCGAAGCTTTACTTGATCAACATATTCTGTTTATCCTGTTAGTGACATTTTTATCTCGATAAAATTTATATATCAGGCTTCATTAAGATAAACTAGATAATGAAAAGAAATAGCTGAAACTGGGAAATCAATAAAAGGATAAATATTGTCTATCATTAACAGGTTTTGATTGCTGTTTCGAATTACTGACAAGTAAAGTCGCACTGAGCGACGAAACGACGGCATTTTTGGGGTGATTCTGTGCTTTGGGATAATTTTTCTTTTTGGTTTTGTTTTGCCGGACATAGGTATGTATTACAATACCTGTAAATATTCTATCTACTATAGTACATAACTGCATCGGAGCGTGGCCTACATTTTGAGATAAAGCTTGAGACATAAACATTTTGCCACACAGAGAAAGTCGGGTTATTGGGTCTCACGTTTAAACGAAGAATTCTATTTCGTCGGAGCGGTTTTAAAATCTGTAAAGGAACGGAAAAGATAGCCCGTATTCTGAAGTATAGATTCATATTAAAAGATAGTTTTTAAAGCTGGTTTGTTTAGGCGAAAAAGAATTAATTCTAAACGTCATGAGATTGATCGATTTAGCTCTTCATATATTTTAAAGCTGGCGTGTTGGCCGATCTGATGGTGTATGAATCATCGGTATAGCCCTGCACCCAAAAAACTAGATAGGTTTATAAAATGAGTCACACCCGGTTGACAGCTATTGGTTCGGACGTTCATGGCGGACGAGTGTTTACCTCTAAAATGAACTGAAAACCTTTTTTTAAATCAGTTTTCAATGCTGATTCAGAAAAATATAGTTCGAACCTTCCATCTTACAATATATCTCAAAAAGTCAGTTTCATCGTAGAGGACGGTTTTTTGTATTTTTGACGTTCTCTCAATCGTTTGAGTTTTTCTCTATGAAGAAATGGTTTTGGGAGACTCGGAAGGTGATAGGCGTGGACGATTTTGGAACTGGTCAAAGCGCAATTGCAACAACAGGTGTGGCGTTCTGTATTGCAATTGGTCTGTTTTATCTTACAAAAAATGAAACAAAAATATATTTAAAACATATTTCATCTGTTTATCTACCCGCTCCACCTAATATTACCAAAAAAACCAGAAAAACGATAGAGGACATCATCAGTGAAATAATTAACACGGAAACCAGCGTAATATTCGAACATGTTGTATTTGCTGGTGGTCTCAATTCGAATGATAACAAGGCCATTGAAGCCAGATTGCTCTCGATGATGGGCAATTTAACAATTAAACTTACGCGAAATGGTACAGAATTAGTAATAATTTTATTCTGAAAAGGTAACTAGAATCGAGCTGAAAGACATTCGATTATTTTAGGTGTAACATCGATCATGTTACGTGATTTTCTTGATGCAATCAAATTTATTGAAGTGAATATGAATATTTGGCCTTCCCTCTATCTGAGTGGCGTCGAACGTTGTGTTAGTGGAGTATCGTTATTGTGTTGCAAACAATATGAAGAAGATAGAATTTATATCGCTCATTACGCAGTTTATAATTCATCCGTTGTGATTGAAGCTGATCGCTGTGTCATGCAATTATCAAAACTTGATCCATTTACAAGACACTAGGCATGTTCGAACAAACGTATTTTGAGAGAAAACGCTGTGCATTCGTTGGTCTATTTTAGGACATGTAGGAAAATGCTTGTAATTTTTGAAGGCAAGATCACACAGAGTTGTACCAAGTCTTATTCTGAATATTTTTCGCAGACATCTCAGTTTTAGCAAAATTTTTTATGCGTCTCCCATCTCATGAATCACCCGGTTGGACAGATTTAGGTAATATCTGGAACGTAAGACGATATATATACATACAATGCGTAGCAAAAGTAAAAGTGTAAAATGGCGTCACTAGCGAATTTCTCGTTATCTGCCCGATGTATTTGTGTATTAGAACAAAACCCTTTGTCTTTTCAGCACAAACTTGATGATTTCATCCAAGAAATTTGTGGCGTATATTTTTGATATGAAGTGCATTGTTGGACCACACACGGCGAAGCTTATGTACGTTTCCTCATTCAGCTTTTATGTCCCCGTTTAGATTGAATCTGTCTACTGATTTATTTTTTTCTCTCTACGATATTGTTTGAAAAATGTACGTTTATATGAAAAAACCAGGAAAAAGCCTGGTAGCAAAAAAACAGTTTTCGAGAAAAAACGCATTTTGTACATAGGTCACCTTTTTCAGGGCTAAAAAATTGAGTTTTTTTTGATTCTGAAGGAAAAACTTCAAGAATCCATAACCTTTTGAAAAAAGGTGAGTTTTTCATTGGTGAGAAATTCATTTTTTCAAAAAACTTTCAGTTTTTCTTTGTATTTTACTTTCTATTTGTAATATAGTCATAGTGAACTTACTTAATCGTATCTTTATAAAATAAAGTAACGATATTCGACTCTTTATGCACAAATATTCGTATTAGAAGACCCCTCGTAATAGAAGATCCCCTAAAAAGTTTGTACACTAGAACATAATAGAAGACCACGGGTCTTTTATTATGAGGCGGGGTTTACTCTTAATAAGCATTTCTTTAGCAAAAAATTTTGTTTCTTTTGCCCATCGCGTCATCGACTCTCGCGCCAATCACTTGGACATCAATGGATTGGCTTTGGCTCATTTTGTGGAACTCCGTCATTATCTTCGAAGAAGAGAGAGTAACAGTTTTATACCCCAAAGCCGCTGGTTTTTAAGATAAATTTGACAACCTCTTAAAGTTGTAGTCGCAACCTCTTAACGTGACTAGACGTCTCAGTATTGGGAGTTCCACCTTTTAGCACCTTTAGGTGCTACCCTGCCAAGGTCTATTAGTAGACACTGGTCGGTTGTTTAAATAAGAAGAAATGAAAAGTGTTTTCTCAAGTAGATTGAAATATAAAGCGGTTGTTTTGTTTTCGTTCGATAGGAAACATTTGTTTTAGTATAGTTGCTTAGGCAAAGCTGGAATGTTGCCTGATCCCTAAGCGTTACCGACCTGTCTGTGGTGTTAAAAAATTATTTACCCATTTGAGCGTAAATCGGCTTGTCCAAACGTAACAGTGTTACGTTTTGGTCGCACTAAAATGAAATTACCTCGGAAACTAAAACAGTTAAAAAGCTCATTTAAACGCCATTCGATGCAGCTCGTCGACCCCCATTTACGGTATAAAAACAAAATTTTTTGCATGAAGTCTCGAATTTTGAGAACGGTTTTTGTAGGCCGTAACGGTGTTACGAAAAAAAGACCCTTTTTTCAAGTGCTATCAACAAAAACGTGAATTTCGACAAAGGTAAAGGTCATAATGAAAATTTTTTAGCACAGAAATTGTAGAGCACCAAACGGGCTATCCGATGGTAAAAAAAGAATTTTTCCAACATCTTCAGTTAAGGCAAAAACATCAAAACATAAACGTAACGGTGTTACGCACTATTTTTGTCGAGTGTTTTCGAGGGACTTAACATGATCAGAAGATTTTGATATTATACAGATAATTATTCGTGCCACAGTCAGCCGATATTCAACGCAAGAATAAAGTCGCTACCTAGGGTCAAAAACTGTAAATTAAGTCGGAAAATGTACAAATATGTACAAATTTTCTAAAGGGCTGAAGCTCAAAACCAAATACGCCATTTTGTAGAGAATTAAATTTTCTACGAAACCATATGTTCAGAAATTTATTTTTCGAAAACTATCTCAGCTAAAAATAGAAAATGCGGTTTTTGAAATGTTCAAAAACCGGTTTTGGGACTCAAAAACCAATTTTTATCGAAAAAGCGTTTTAAACGGGTCCTTAGAATTGAAAATTACATCTAGTGATGTCTTCAAAATTTTCGAAAGCGAAAATGTTTTTTTATAAACTTGATCAGCGAAGTGTCGCGTTACGTGAACAAGCCGAAATAAATTCTTTTCCAATAACCAGTTCGGCCTTTTACCAAAAACATCGACAGTTGATGCTCTATTATATTTGTTACATAGTCTGACAAATAATCTTAATAAGCAGCCACCGGTGGACACCGTTCTAGTCACATTTGATATCCCATGAAATAATTTTGATACCCTAACGCAGGTTAGCACTCGTTAAAAATATCTTTTTTACCAAAATTATGTTTAAACGGGTTAAGCTTTCAAAAATCACGCGTACTGGCGCTTTTTCCGAGTGGTGATGTGTGAGAACTCGTTGAATATGATTTTGAAAGATCTAACGAGTTTTCACGCGTTCAAGTTGAACGAGTTCAAGTGCGTTAAGATCTGGTTGATGCGTATGAATGAGTTTAATACGAAAAAGTTACTTGTAATGGGTTTGAACCAGTGTGGGTATCGAATGCGCTCTAACTGCTCTTAAATAGTGATGCAACCAAAATCGATTACAATTAGAACCATCAGATTTAACTGCTTTGAAATTGAATTGTTACGTGTTATGTATAGGCATGCACCAATACCAAGCATTATTGAAGATATTGTACAATATTACTGGATATTCAATATATTGTATTGGTGCATGACTAGTTATATAATCGCGTTTTACACGTTGATCTATCATTCGTAATCGTACGTTCAACCAATCACAAACGTAAATTGTATACATGTACAATTTCCATTCAAATCCGTTGAACTTAGCAAAACGCACACGGGGCTTCAAGTAATAATGAGTTCATCTTAAATAAGTGAACACATCTCTTCACTGTCTTTTTTTTACTTCTCTACAGACAAACCTTTTTACAAACAAGCATTAGAATAAGTAGTTCGAAACTGTTAGCGTCGGAGCGAAGATTAAATATAATAAAAAGCTTACTTGGTTACTAAATTTTTTCTTATTGTGGTCCAAAAGAAGAATCTCATATGTGTGAGATAAAAACGAATATACTTCATAAAACAAGAGCTGTGCTCGACCATACTATTCCCCTCTTCTTTTCAGTGACAATGGACATGGGCAATCAAAAACATCACATAACAGAGAACGCATCACGTCCTCTTAATAGCGTACTTGTGTTGAAACTATTATCGACTAAACTGTATCAAGTTGTTAATGCGCGCTAGTTTCAAACTCAAACGTTGGAACATGTGAATTCATCGAAAACTGATCATATACAATTCGATTGATCATAAAGAAAAAATGTATATTTCTAAATAAAACCTATTTTAACTCGTTTAGACGAATAGAATAACTTTCAACCCATGCATGGTTCAGGGATGACTCATCAAAATTTTTAAGCGTTTAAACGCGTTAAAGCAGCGATTTAGCAATCACCGTTTTGTTTTGCATAACCAAATCATATATAAATATCACGCCTTTTCCTTCGAAATATACGAAATATTTGCTTAGAGGTTTTTCTAAGTTTTTCTCTTGCTGCAAATTACTGTACGAGACTAGTCCACCATAATGATACTGAGGATCATAACCTGATGGGTCCATCAACAAAAAAGCAGTGCCTGCTTAGTACAAGAACAAAATCATACAAACAATGTCTAATGTATGTCTAACAACGTCTACAATGTTCTAACGAGTTAGAACATTTTGAATCCAAAGAATTTTATTCTAACGAATGTTAACGCGTTCGAAGTCGATAAAAAAGTCGAACGAGTTTGAACAATCTACTACTGAGGTGTAACGTTAGCACGCGTTACAAATTGAACGCGTCAAAAGCGCCGAATATGAAACATTTAACGCGGTTTTAATGCGTTAATGCGCTTCCCATGAAATATTTTTGATACCCTAACTCAGGTTAGCACACGTTAAAACAAGTAATAATTTAACGCATGCGCACAGGTTAAATGGTCTGGAATGCGTGCAAACATGTTATCTTCTGAACTTGTATGAGACCAGAAATGTCTCTTAATTAATCCTAACTCGTTAAAAACACAATTTCATTATAAAAAATTAAAAGTTGGGTTAAAACGAGTTAATCAGAAAAAGTTTAAAATTGTAACGCGACAGGTAAGCGGATTAACGCGTTAAAACAGCGTTAAATGTTTCATATTCGGTGATTCTAACGAGTCAGAATCACCTGTTAGAATCACCACGAGTTAGCTGCATTTTGTTGCCCATCATTCACTGAGTCTGTGGTAAGAATTTCCCGACTACCACACCTCAGGAAGCTGAGATAAACGAGACGCAGAGTTACTACTACTCTTCTAAGGAGTTGATCCTAAGCAATATATCGAAATCGGTCTTTTTGCATATATATGACACACCGCTGA